GGCACCCTTCTTCAGCAGGTATTTCAGCTTTCCTGACATATTTTGTCTTGCATTTTTTTTTTCCTTTTAAGGGAATTGGGGGGGGGCACTTTTCCCCTTCCTATAGCTAGGAGCATGTTCATAAGGTGATGGTTTCTTTTGTCCTGCAGTGAGGTTTTGTTTTTTTTAATGACCTGAGGGGGCATAAAAAATGGCATTTCCCATTAGCTGTCTGAAAAGGTATAATTCTATCTGGTACAGATGGGTGGTCCTGGATGAGAAGCTCGCATTGTTCCTCCCACTGCCTTTACGTTTCTCAGGGTGCTTTTCTAGTTTCATAAGGGGTAATTTGGGGAATGCTATTTTTTGGGGGGTGATGTAAAAAAGAGATGACCTCTGCCCCTCTTTTCAAAAGCAATCTTTTACCACTGCATAGTGGTCTCTTCTCGACACAATGATATGGGGAAAAACTATCTCCCACTTTCCTCTGGTTTATAGGTATATCATTCCAAGGACTTGCTTTCTGGCTATTTTCATTGGTGATTGTACCAGCTTCAGCTTTTGCCTATATTACTGTTATCTGTCAAAAGTAATGACCCTTAATGCCACACTGTACACATCCATGAATCCTCCAGAAGATGATAGCAGAGCTTATGTGGTGACCCCAAAAATGCTTGCCAGGAAGAAATGGGAAGATGGGAGTAGGGGGTGAAGCGAAACAATAGACACAGCCAGTGAAGTTCAAGCCAGCCCCTTCTACAATAACCTTTCGTTTTGCTTGGATGGTGCCACAGTGATTACCACCCACTAGTTAAAATAACAGTTTCTTCTCTGCATGAGTTGAAATGGTAGATTAATTCTATATGTTTAAGTGCTTGTTAACTATTCATATTACCAAAGTCCCGTTCCTCAAAAGGAGGTGGCTTTGCTTGGGCCCTTGGCCAGACCTTCAACTCTCCCACAAGAATGAGCTTGTCCTCAACTAAAATGAGGTGGTTGTCTGAGATGTTAGATTTGCAGGCACCATTAAATAATGGCAAATCAAAATTTTTCTTTATAGCCTCAAGGGGACAACAGATCACCTGCTGGTTCAGCCTTCCAGAAATTTCTTTTGGGCTGCCAAAGAAAAGGGCAGTTGTCTTTTTTATGACAGCTGCAGAAGATTAATATGAAAGCCATCAAAATCCCTCCATTGTATGCAACCTATCTTCATTTTAAAAAACAGTGTTTTTTTTTCAATTTTTCAAATTCCATATGATATGAAAAGCTAATAACTTTCTCTCAGAATTCTACAGAATTGTCTAAGTAAAATTCTGCAACCTTGTCTGGTAATTTTTTGTGACTTATGCAATATCTGAAACCACTCTAAGATAAGTTGTTAATTCCATCTTTTTTTTAAAAAAAAGAATGATTTGCTTCCCTCAGAATCTCCATCTAGTTCATCCTGGATGGAAACTTGCCTGTTCAGCTTATATTTGAGTTTCTATCAAATCTGGTGGCAATCTCAGTCCTTTTTAAATCTTATTGATAGAAGCTGAATTTTATAACATTTATTCCCTCCCAAAATAGTCCACAATGAACCTTCAGAGTTGTTACAAAGGAGGAGGAGGAGGAGGAGGAGGAGGTGTGGGTCAAGTGCCAGAAATTATTTAGACCAGCATAAATTTCAGATCAAAGAAGTCCAGCTGGTGGACTGAACCATGGCAAAGAACCAAATCTGGATATCTTGCTATACTATAGATCTTATATGTCAACCTTCACTTATAGCAGGCTTCCTATCCCAAAGCCCCCACATTCTCATTCAAGATAGCCAAAGGCCATGAAAGATGAAAATCAAGGTAGCTGAAATCCAACCCATTTGAAGGAACTGAGGTTGCAGGGAGGAAACTGCTCTCTATCAAGTTTCATCAGTAAAACCCAAAGCCATGCTAAGCCATGCCCAACAGACAGTTGAAGTACAGAGAACAGTGTTTCATAATTGCTTCCCAAGTGGTTTCATCTAGAAAATGTAGTAGGAGCAGCGCCATCCCAAAAGTTAGTGGCTGAGACTATTCCTAGAGCTCATAGACTGACACATTCCAGCTGCCATCCAGAAATCTCTGGATCAGAAGTCTCGGATCATTAGAAAACTTCCCAGTTCCAGTTCAAAGGGTTATGTTGGACAGGCTGGAAGCATTTAATTAGAAGAATTCCTATTTTTAGGAGATGCTGTAATTCGGCTGAGCTCCAAGCTTGCAGCCATTGTGTGAGTTTAACTAGCACACCCCTCCTCATCCATCCCTCCTTCCTCTCATTTTCAAGCATTTTTCCCCCTTTCCAATTCAGAAATCCTGCTCCAAAAAGCATGCAATCCAAACCATCAGAATTATTGCATAGCTGTTGGTTTTGCTGGCGTTGTGAAGTATTGGTAATCAGAGTCACACTCAGTTGCTTCACTCCAGGTATTTCGAACTTTAGGCATTAATATTGAAGCCCAAAATACACATGTATCTGTTATTGAGCACACATTTAAAAACATGGATTTATGTTTGAAAATACCCCAAAGCAGTGGGGAAAGCTTGTGCTTCTCTCCCAGGTGCTGCGCATTGGAAGACTGAGGGAGACATGGTTTGTTGCTTATGTCTCCTGATACTTATATGTCTTCTGTTCCATTTAGGACCTTCATCTTCAGCTCATTTATCTATATCATTGCTGGTCTCCACAAATCCACATTTTTCATTGTCTTGATCGTGAGCAACCAAGATTTCATCTAACGAATAACTTGGGAAACGGACAAGCTTCCCTATTGCCCTTCTCATACATGCCAGTCCAACAAGAGACAGTAACATTTATTGATTTTATATCCTCCTGTCTTTAAAGAGCAATACGATTAAGATGTTACCTATTGGACGGACTCTATTCTTGGATAAAAAAGCTTCTCGTTCTTTCATAGAAAGAGGATGTGAAGGATTAAATCAGAACTTTGGCCACCTAACTCAAGATGGTCTCTTCTGCCTGGATTCCAACCAATTCTCTTTTTCAGGCCTCCCTCTGAAAATACCAAAGATTGAACTGGTATCCTTTAGCATGAAAGGCCTCAAACATGTGCTAAAACCGTAATCCTTCCAAATTCCATTACAACCCAGATGTCCACATGCATATTCACTGCATTTTTTCCTTACTGAGGCACCAGACTATCCTCTTGCAAACAAAGTTTTATCCTCCTAACATCCAAATGACACTGGAGGTCTTTAAAAAGCATTTAGTTCCTTGGGTTTGGCTATTTTGATATCTGCCAATGATTGAAATGCTCAGGAAAACTATATATGCAAGAAAATAGGATCCACAGGCAAATGTCTCTCTGTTAATTACCAGGGTGCTTGCTATCAGCCAGAGATAGGTCCCCCGAGGTGAAAGCCTCAGTTGTTGCATCTCCTGGACTGAGAAATGAAATCTTTATTTCCTCCAAAAGTCAAGGGGTTCAGTTTTCCTGCCCAACACATGAACACACACTCAGAGTAACTTCAGCTATTCCACCGGTTTGAGAGACCTCAGATATGTTGGCAAAACAGAGGGCTTGAATGGACAAAGATTCACGAATAAAAGAGACTTGTATCTTTCGTTCCTCCAGATTTGGATCAGAATCTAAGTGCTCCCCATTTTTCTTCTGGTTAAGTTTTCTCCTCTTTCTGAGACCCAGATTCCAGGAGAAAACATATCCCGAACAGAGGCCCAACCATAAAAGTATTAGTTGCAGCAAGAGAAACGTGTCTCTTTCTATACTTCCCCCACCCCAAAATAAGTCTTCCTGCCTACCTTTGCCACCTAACCCTTGTTGCAAAGAGATCAGCTTCCCCTTTAAATTGGTCCAGAAGTTGGTTAGATAGCAAGAAAGAAGCAAGAAGAATAAATGCGAGAAGGAAGCATTTATTCTCCGCCAAGAAGCCAACCGGTAGAAAAAAGTGGGCCAAACGTTCTCTTCGTTTCTCCCTCGCCATCAAGATTTACACGCCTGTATTGATGTGTGTTGGTGTGTCGTGCGGGTGCTTGGCAGGATGGGGGGAGGTGTCAGAAGGCTGCAGTGCTTTGTCCATGGCACATCTATAATGGTTGTCCACAACGAGGCAAATTTTTTTTGGGGGGGGGAGACTAGCAACGTGTTGTCAAAGGGGAAAAACCCCATGTCTAACGTGAGACAGAGAAAGGAAGGAGGCGGTGGCGGAAATATGGTCTGATTACCAAGGGGCCAGAAAGGGAAAGGGCTTTAACCCAACCATCAAGACACCGTTTACTTCATCCCCACCTTTCCTAGCAGCTCCCTGATAGCTCAGAAAGCACAGCGGTGGTGCCCCCAAACCTGGGTCATGGGGAACCCACTGCATCTTTCC